AAAACAGAAAAACCCAAACAACCATGAGAAGTTTGTGCGATTAACAGCCCCTGGAAATTGTGTCAAGATGAATAGATGTCTCATTAAATTACACTTTGCCTCCATGCATCTGTGGATCTGTTAAAAACAAATCCTTCTCAGTGTAATTATAAACACATGAGAGGTGTTGGGGCTGATAACACTGCCTATGTGTGTAGATGAGATTATTTCAAATAATGCTTCAGAAGCAGATGCAGCAGCCATTCGATTGTCTGGAAAACATGACTGCTAAATAAGTCAGTCCACTTCACCACCTGGTGCCTTCCAAATAAAAAAAATTAGCATAATAGGCCACATGCAATCATAATGCGCCCATGATTTCCTCCTAAGAGGTGCTCAGAATTACATCATAATGGGATTTTTACATAGCAATTGGACTAAAATGCAAACATGGTGGAGGAAGAGTTTTTTTCTCTATAAGAAGCATTTGATACATCTGCATGAAATCCTTTCTTATGATAAAATGATTTCAGGTATAATTACCACTTTATGCCGTTATGTTACTCAAACTTAAGCAATTTGACGCAACTGAGCGTCACTTTAGCACAAAGGGATGTTTTAAAAAATTAAGCTACTTTAAATGAAAGTGATGAAGAACAAAGGCTTTGCCAGTCTGCACGGGTCCCTCACGCTGCCCAGCCAATAACAAGGAGGGGAGGGGGGGGGGGGGGGGGGGGGGGGAGGCGCACTCACAGTGATGTTGCCAAACAGCCTGGTCTGCACATCCAGGGCCACTTGATTCTATTCTTACCCAAACCTTAGAAATAAATGCTTTTTTATTTTTTTATTTTTTTAAAAGGACACACAAAGAGCCAAATGTCAGAGAGACACAATCCCTGCCCACCCCCCCTTGGGAAACATCCCCAGAGATCCAATCCTGACATCTCTCTCGTTTTGCGAAGGTTATTCGACAAGTGTGGACGACCCAGTCTGGGTGGGGTGCACCACTGTAAAAAAAAAAAAACAATTTTGACGTGCTGCTGCTCACCTTGCTGGGAAGTGCTCCTTCTTCCGCGAGGTCTGCCGGATTCATGTGGGTGGATTTGCAGCTGGGAGCCTCCTTTGGAAACAGCGCGGATAAAAATGTAATCCAGCGGCAGCAGAGCTCCACTCAGAGAAAGGTCTGCCTTTGTGGAGGCTGCATCTTTTTTTTTCTTTCCCCCCCCACACCCGTCCTGTCCCGGCTTTTCGACTGACAGATCTCTCTCACCGGTGCTGCTCAGCCTTTTTTTTGTCGGCAGAGCATCGTCGGTCGTGCGGCCCTCAGATACCGCTAGTTGATGTCATTGATACTCCCTGCCTTCTTCCTCAATGCCCTCCTCCTCCTCCTCCTCTCCCTCTCCTATCCTCCCCCTCCCGCTCTCTCTCTCTCTCTCTCTCTCTCTCTCTCTCTCTCTCTCTCTCTCTCTCTCTTCCTCTCTCACCGGAGCTTCCACCCCCCCCTCCTCTCCAGCTCCCTCCCCCACCCCCTTCTCCCCTCCACATGACGTGATGCAGCCAAGATCTCCAATAGCAACCGCATCCCCCATCAGCCTTATTACCCCAGTTACCACCTGGCATCCTCCACTTCTCCCTAAATCGCTGACTGGTGTTTGCTGAGGTGGCTTGGACTTGAGTATCTGTAACAGATTTTTTTTTTTACAGTTTTCCCCAGGGCCTAAATGAAGATAAGCACCTTGCAACCCCGTAGAATCTCTTAATATAGTGTCTAATTATAGCTACATGGCAGGAAAAACCAGAGCCAGAGTCCAATATTAGTTCCCACAGAGCAGAACTCCCACACTGAAGCATAGCTGGACACAAACATTAACGGAAAAAAATATACTCGTAGCGAGGCATTAGATGATAGTTTAATAAGGGGGAGGAATAACAAAACAGACTAATTAAGTGCTAGGAGTTAATAACTAAACCACTGTGTTAAGGGCTGTGAAGGTAGTGGTCTTTGATTAAGAAATAAAAACAAACATTCCACATATTTTCTTGAAAGGTATTCCAAAAGGCTTTTCATCATAATTTCTAATAATTGAAACTAATTCCACTACATGAGTTGTTATAAACCTAAAAAGCTGAGTGTGCTGCCCCAAATGCTGTTTACTTCACCCCAGTGGTTAGTTTGATGTACATTTACAAATAAGTGGATCAGACGAATGAGAGATCTAAATTACACAGTATATTTTTTTGTAAAGAGGAAAAACAAGTATGTTTTTGAAACAATCAAACAAAGCATGATCGACATTTTTTTTAATTAGATATTTTAAGAAAAATAAAAATCTGGAAAAATGTATTTCAATTATGCATTTAAACGGCTTGAATATCAACAAACACATCAAGAAAAAGAGTCAAGATGATAGGAAAGTATATATATATATACATGACCACGTTTTTTAAAAACTCTTTTTTACGGTTTGATGTTATTTAGGTCTCGCAGTGTGACAATATTAAATGCTGCAAGGGCAAACTCTGAGGCGTTGGACTGTGTGCTGGAGTTTGCCCCGATATATCTCCACAAGGAGGTTTTCTTCTTTCCTGTTAACCCTCTGTTGAACAGTTCCACCACGATCTGTGGCACGGTTGGTAACCATGATTTATCTTCATGTAGATACTTATTTAACCCTTAATTGTTTGTTAAAAGCCATTCCCCAAAACTCATTCTCTCTTTCATTATTGTAATGAAAGACTGCTTGGCAGACTGCGAGAGCAAGACATAAAAATCGACCACTCTCTTAATGAGACAAAGGCCTCCGGCTGGAAGAGTTTTTTTCTTTGTTGCTACTGACATCTAGTGGGAAGTTATCGTCACGAGACGCTGGAAATTTTTCATGAGGGGGAAACAAAGAGGACCTTGTCACATGCTAAAACTCGCTGAAATTATGTTTGCCTCGCTAAAACAAATAGACATTACGGCCACTCTTTTTTTTTTTTTAAACCTACAAGAGGTGTGTTTTCCACTTCATTTGATCCCCATGTTCCAGAAGCATTTTCCAGCCTCAACAAAGAGGTCAGAGGTCAGGCAAGCCATTTAGGACCTAGCGAATTAAGCCGGCGTTCAATTTCAGTTTAATGACATTTAGTCAGAGCGTGCTGTCACGGCAAATTTACAAGCTGACTCATGCGGCGTGACATCTGTTGCAGTAATAGCACATTAGCAGGTAATAAACGTCTCGGATGAAGCTTCCAGCTGTATGTGTTTTAGTTCGTCTATCTCCTGTTCAGACGTAGAGCAGTCTTCTCTGCCCCTCACCCCTTGACCTGCCTGGCTGTATAGCATTACAGTATTCCCATTTTCAGAGCTGATGCCAGGGCGAAAGACCCTAAAATTAGCAGGGTGGACACCCTGTCTCCACCGCCTCCCAGCAGCAGTGACGTTAATTGCGCTCTATTTTTACTTAGAAGGCAAGGCCCAGAAAGATCGAGTTTCTGTGATGTTTTATTTCAGCATCTTCAAGTCTGTGAGCCGCAGACCGCCTAGTTATTAAGAGCAGAAATGAATGACTGTAGATTACTGTTCGGATAAAAGTTAGATGGAACTGTTGTCAAACAGCTGTTACATTAATTTGGACAAGTGAAACACAACCAGATGCTGGAAACAATTCCAAAGTGCTGCGCTTAAAAAAAAAAAGAAGGAAAAATTGAAGGAAATCGCTACCAATCTTTTTTAAACATTCATACACAGGGACACTTATTCTGTTGTGATACTGAATTTTATTCAGACATCTTCAATGCACTTTTGCTCTTGAGTAATCATCAGTTAAATGAATCAGTCGAGTAAGAAAGGCAGCGTCTGTGCAGAGCCTGAAAGTAAGGATCCCAGGATTTATAGAGCCTCTCAGTGTTCGTTCAGTGGGATGGTGCTTAGCACAGGCAAACAAATAAAACATCCATGATAACACAAGATAAACAAAAGACAGACTATTAGATATATGACTAAGATCCAGGGGTGATCGGGAGTCGTGTGCTTTGTTTCTGTGAGCTGCAACCGAGGTTAAAGTGAAAGTTCACCCTGTAACAGAACCTGCATCACATCTTGGGACAGTTAACCTGTTGCTAAGGGACACAATGAGTGCGCTGAAGTTCCATCTCTGTCTTCGAATTTCTTCTTATATGAGCAACTGAATAATATCTTATTTAAATTACTGTAAATCATTCAGCTTCACTCAACAGTTTTTCATGTATATTTGCACACCAGTCCCACAACTGTAGAAAAGTATTGCCTCTGAGTGGAAAAATACAAGCTGCATAGTGTGTTGTGGGGGGTGATATCCACATGGTACCTGCCTGCTCTATACTGTCCAACTCATCCTCAGTCCCACAGTCTTTCAAATAATGCTTCCACAGACTCAAAAAGACAGTCACAGTGTGAAATATTAAGAAGCTGGTGTTTCTGACCCTCCTGTCGTGGAAGCTTAATGTCTTCGCTTTATGTTAATACTTTAAGATGCCGCAGGAGTCGGTTTTGCCTTGAGTTTTAGTCAGTAATGGAATATTTGGCACGGTTTGCCAGCATCAAATAGAAGAGGGGGACAAACATTTGCCGGTATTTCTGGCCCATGAGCTTGATCAAAGAATCTCCTTCAGATTAATTAGCAAAAACCGTAAGCTACCATATTCACACTTTTTTCATGCAGGTTCTCTGGCTAGTTTGATCAGATGCTCCGTGCTGATAATACTAAAAACCCATCTTTGAGCCACCAGCACACCCACTCAAGCACCGTCATATTGTAACTCTCCTTTTAACCGGAGAAAGTCTCACTCAATAAATAGCAGTAGATCCAAACAATCACTTTCAAAGTCTCTGTGACCCAACATAAGAATAAAGTGATGACTGACCAGATCTCAGCCAGTGTGGGTTTATTGCTATCGTTTGTCTCTGACATGAGTCAGAACTGGTAATGACGATCAGGAAAATGCTATGGGGGGGGAAAAGGGAACAGGATAAGTGCAGGGGTGCCTCATCGGGGACGTCAGTGCAGCTCTATGAACGCCTCCATCTCCTCGGAGATCAGTCCCCTGTAAGGCAGTCTGTGCTTTTCAATAGCACGTGCTGCCAGGCACTGAAGGGTGATGTAGTTCAGTGGGTACAAGGCCGGGTGCCCGCTGCTGTGCTCGTCCAGCAGCTCGTAGGCCGTCTTCCTCTGCGCATTGGTTGCATCGAAGTGAGCCCCGGCCTTCATAAGCAGCGCCATGATCTCTGGACAGCCATTGTTAGCAGCGATGTGCAGCGGCGTGTTGTTCTCACAGTCCCGTGAATCGACGTCTGCGCCACATTCCAGGAGCAGGGCCGTCACCGCCGGGGAGGGAAAGCGCCCCACGGGGTAGCGGCCCACTGAGGTGGTTTCTTTGTCCACGGCCATGTGGAGGGGAGTGAAGCTGCTCCGGCCTCTGGGGTTGAGCTTGAGCAGCCGGTACACCGTGTGCTTCTTCTGGTGCTCCTGCTCGGGGCTGCACTCCAGCTTTTCCAGCAGGAAGACCAGGTGGAGGATAATGGAGAGGGCCTTTGTGAACTGAGGGGCTTCCGGAGGGTTGTCCCTCTGCGCCACGGCTCTCTCTACCTCCCGAACGCTTTTTCCCAGCACCGTCATCAGATCCTGGAAGGTGATGCGAGTGGCGAGGGTGCCTTTGGCGCGGTCCTGAAGCACGAAAGAAAAGAGCTCCGCAAACGACAGGAAGCTGGAGGCTGTCATGGGACTGAGAGGGTCCAAGTTGCTCTGCTGCATATCTAAAGCATATTTCCACAGGCTGATACAGCGTTCAAAGTTGCCCGAGTCGGCATACACAGCTCCTCTGTAGCGGATGTAATAAGAGGTATCTGGGTGGGACGGCCCGAGGATGCGCTCACGAACCAACAAGGCCTGCATCCTCATTTCATCAGGGTCTGTGATCAGAGCTTCCAGTTCCTCCGCGGAGCTCACCTCCTGCGCACAGCCATAGGCAGGGATCGGGGGACCGGGAGGGGGCTTGTCCAGTGATCCAGCTTTTTCGCCCGGCTGCCTCAGCTCCATGGCTCTTCTCCAATACCGCATGGCTCCCAGCAGATCACGCTTTTTGTCCACGAAAGTCGCCCCTAACAGTTCGAGCGCGTCGATGCGCTCTTCTCTGGAGGTCCATGGCTGGTGCGAGAGATACTCCACGATGTTGGTGTGACCCGTCACGCTCGCGGCCAGGAGCGGGGTCATCCCGTACCCATCTCTCTCCATGCGGGCGCTGCACTTCAGCAGCATCTTCATGATGTCCAGACTACCCGACTCGGCGCAGTCGTGGAGGGCCGTGTTCCCTTTCACACTTTTGCGGTTGACATCGGCGCCGCGGTCCAGGAGGAACTTGGCTATCTCTTTGTGGCCTTTGTAGCAGGATATCATAAGGCAGGTGTGTCCGTGGCGGTTGGCGACCTCCATGTCCGCTCTGTGCTCCACCAGGTAGCGGACTATTTCCAGGTGGCCGTCAAAGCAGGCGGCCCGGAGCGGTGTCGAGTTAGTTAACGTTGCATTGTTCACGGAGGCACCGTGTTTCAGCAGCGTCTTGACCACCGGGAGGTGACCGGCGGCCGAAGCCGCCCACAGCGGCGGAGCCCCCTCGATGGTCTCGCCGTCAAAGTTGACCGAACCCCCGAGTTCAACGTTCGCTTTGCAATGTTCAAGCAGGTATTCTACCACCTCCAGGTGTCCGTACCGAGAGGCTATCAGCAAAGCAGTGCCTCCCTGCGTTTTCTCCTCCGCTAATGCCTCCCGCTCCTCTTGAGTTTTGTTGCTCAGCAACTTCTGGAGAAGTTTCAGCTTACCATCTCTGGCCGCGTTGAAAACCACCGTCGTTATATCCATTTTACAGGCTCTGTTCATTAGTGCTGGACGCCAACCCCATAACTCTTTAATTTAGGGCAGACCTGCCGCTCTACTTTTAACTGAAAGGACCCCACATTCTTAGTTTAGACGGGGTCTCGAGCTCACATCTTTCTGCCATTTTGAGGTTGCTATCAAGATGGCGTTTCTGTTGTTTGACAGGTCTATGTTTACGATTCGAGCGAGGCATTATGGGTGATGTAGTTTTAGTGGGGGCTCTTTCAGTCAGGAGTGCAGCGGCCGTTTTATTCGTTGCGAACTTCATTTCCCTTGAGGGCTGGGAGTTAAATCCCTACCAGCTGATGGGTTTCGACCAACTGGGAGTATCTGACTGTCAGCTGACGATTGATTGACGAACCAAATAACACCATAGAATTCCTGGACATGACGTGGTTATGATATACTTAGACACGGGCAGATGTATATTACAGCAGAATATCAAATTAATGTTTCAAGTTGCATAGATCAGCCGTAACATTATGGCAGTCTGTCTAAGATAGTGCACTCTCACCCTACTGTCCAATAGGCTCTGACCACTTAGGGTAAAACCTTGACCTCAACAAAAGATGCTTTGAGCCCTATAGGTTGTAAATATTCCTGTTTTGGGTTTGCATCACACGGGTGATGTCATATTCGCTCAGATTTGCATGTGTATAGTTTAAATGTCAGGGGAAGACCTCAGGCTCTTTGGCATAGTTTTTTTTGTTTTGTTTTTTTAGCTCTGCCCAAGCTGTTTTTGTCCATCCCTCTGTGGAAAACAGCTGTTTAGAGGAGTGGTGTTGCCAGGTAGTGTAACAGTGGGGATGACTGGTCTAAAGAAATGTTTTTGTGTTGATGTTAAACTAAAACTCGTGTGAGTCTGAGAATGTAGAATTAATAAATGAGATGCAATTTTTATTCTACCATCATTTTATGACGGATCACTGTGTAGAACAACAGTTACACAACTGGCTTTCATATAATAAAACAAAAAGACATAAGATGCTAATTAAAAGGTAGGTTTTGACCCCTTAATGGTAATCACATAAAAAATATTCTTATCCAATTGATTAAATATGTTAAAATCCAACGTAAAGTTGTCCCTAACATTTGTCCAGTAAGTTTTACCATTCTAAAATTGCTCAGATGCAACAACACATTGCTGTATCATATCATGGAACTGTGTTTATGAAAGAGGCAATACAGAGCTCATTTGTAAAAAAACACCCTAAAATGCAACAATGTAAAAGTGTTAATATACTGTCAGGCCGCTTTGCACCTCTATCACTAAATGTGCAATAAAACCAAAAACATTACTCACAGATTTTAAAGTGAAATATGAGATTGCAGAGCCAGAAAAATTGGATGAAGCTGTTGACTTTTCGATAGGTTAACCCTCCTGAAGCCCATGCTGGTCATGGCTGGAAATTAGAACATGACCCATTCAGACTGGCTATCATGTGAAGATCATAATATGTGGCTTTAAAAAGAACCGCAAACTAAACATTATTTAACACATTGCTGAGGAAGAAAGATTAAATAGTTTAAATAAGCTTCTATGAAATGTAAGGAACACTTGTGGGCGTGGTGTCGCTAGTTTTGTTTTGTTCAATTTTGTGTGGTCATCTTTGACATCACAATTCAGCTAATTTACTTATACTAGCAGTTATTGAATGATCAAACAATTCTGAGTGGTACAGCAGTTGATTTTCCTTAATGGTTATGTGAAAACTCCTGCAGACAAAATTATCCAGGCTTTAATCCTTGCTGAAAATTAAACAACCTTGTCATTAACAGTGATTTGTGGAATCAAGCAGGCAAAAATACACCGCTGATATTAGATTCAAGCTCTAAATGATCTTCGTGAAGGCTATGACCAGAATATTAACTAAAAATATAGGCTCCACATTGAATGACCCGCTTAAATCTTTTTCTGATTAGTTTGTGCATGAGTAAAGTGAGAGATGGAGTGCGCTTGACAAGATCTGTGGAGTAATATGAACAAGGAGAAATATTAGTACTACAGTAATTAGTTGCAAAGAAGTCGCAATTGTGACAGAAACTCAAAAATTAGAATCAGGTGGAGAGATTTCCAGTGAAATACATTTATCAGTTACTTATTTTCTTTCAACATATTTAATATAAATGAAAAAAAAGAAAAACTAAGATAAAACTATTAACTAAAAAACTATGTCTAATCAGGCAGATATGGTGTGGTGTTTTGTCAATTTTAGCTCAAAATCCTTGGCAATGTGTCATATTCAGTAAGAAATGAGTGATCTGTCAGAATTCCCACTGCTTTCATTGTCTTTGAAACTTGATGGTCGCTCTTTGTTGAGAGAGCTCTAAACAAACAGCCCTACTAAAAGATGAATTAATAAAATAATCTGATTTTCATTTATTATTATCCGCTCAGTAGATTTGTGCTTGACAGCAAGTGACACAATATTTTGCCAGCATTCCACATTCTTGACATTCCTTAAACAAATATTAAAAACATCCATGTTTCTGCAGTGATTCTGTTGACTGTTGACCTGAAGCCTCTCTTTGTGAGGGTTTCTGAAATTCTAATGAAACAGGACAAGTGAAAACCAAAGCACAAAAACTACTAATTAAAGTAAAGGTCAGAACAGATAAATTCGATGGTTTGATTTCTATCACGTTGTGGGGCTCCCCAACATGTTGTTCTGCTGTTTGACCAGCAGAGGAGGCAAAGTATCCACAGAAGTGCAAAAGCCTTGACCAATCCATCTGCTGGTGTCTTTATGATCCATATAAAATGACATCTCCATTTAGATTTCCAATTGCTTAAACGAGTGCATAATCACTGTGAAAATTAATTATTTTCCAAGAAAGATAATGTGAGCGATTGAGTCACATTTTTACCTCAGCCATCCTCAGTAATAAGTAGTTGAAACTCACTGGGAGACAAATCGAATTTGAATCCAACTTTTTAAATTAAGCAGGGAGCTTGAATGCACACAGAGACAATACGGAATGCAATAAAAGACCCACAAATGACACTCCGCCTTACATTTCTCTGGGGGTATTGTAGTCATTTGCAAAAATTGGAAACGAGATGGCTTCATAATTTCTTCCATGGCTTTCATTTGATCCAGATGAATTATTCATGGACAATATCACACAACCAGGCAGACGTGCAGCTCTTTTTCCCCATGATAACAAACGATCACTTGTGGGTTTTGTGTTTTTTATTCACGTGTTCAGAGAAAAATCACATCACATAGGTTATATTTATAGTAAATTCACAAGCATACATTCATTTTAATTTCCACCACTTCATGCAAACATTCACTTGTGATATCAAGATTTACTACAAGAAATACAGCTTTGACCCAGACAAGGTTCTTATAGTTAATCAACTGATATAACTGTGCACATCATGTGCACTCAATGGGAGGACAACAAACAAAGATAGCCTTTCCACTGGCCACAGGTAAGCGGATGAGCTACAGGAATTCTGTTCATGGTATTTTGATAAAGAAAGATTCATAGATATCCAAGTGTGTATATTACAACTCTCTTGTCGTCAGTATTCTTCCTCTAGTCCTGTGTTCGTCAGATCTGTGAAGAGGGATAAAAGGTCATCAGACAGGAGGGTGCCCTCGAGCTGAAGGGGATCTGCTCGCTTTCAGCGGAACTTTGACAGCATCTCCCTAGAGGCTTGCGAGCAGCTCGCTAAGTAGCACCTCCCTTTCTCCCAGAAGCACATCTCTCCTCAGACTGGTTCCTTTGTTCACTACTTTTATCTTCATGGCCAGGCTCTTCACTTGTGCCTGGTGCAGCGCGTCAAAAAAAAAGTCTTCGTTGAACACCGGATTCCTGCTGTTCTTGATGATGGTGCTCCTTTGTTTCTGCTGTTTGCCGGGGTTGAGGTAGAGCGCCACGCAGCAGTTGATGCTCTTAAGGTCCGTCTGCCTGTCGTAAAGGGCCTCGGCCGTGAGCACGCGCACCCTGAGCCGCGCTGCCTCTGGGTCGTAGTGAGTGCTCAGCCTCAGTGTCCCCCCCTTGTGGAGGTTGATGGTGTGCTCGCGCTGGAGAAGGTCCGACGCCGTGCCCCTGCCGCCGCCGGCTCGGCTCCCGCGGAAGGCGGGAGAGGGAGGGCAGCGCATGCGGCGCCGCTGCATGTTGGGGCTGTTGTCTGCCGAGCTGCACTCGTCGGTAGAGAGGGAGCTGTGACGTGCCAAGGAGCGCTTGGCACGAGACACCTTGAGATTGAGAGGAATAGCAACAGGTAAATAGATTGAAGAGAACAAAACACATTCATCCATCCATTATCAATACCGCTTATTCCCTTATGGGGTCGCAGGGGGGAACTGGAGCCTATCCCAGTGGTCAACGGGCGAGAGGCAGGGTACACCCTGGACAGTTCGCCAGTCCATCGCAGGGCCACACGCAAGACACACAAGGACAAACAACCACTCACACTCACATTCACTCCTAAGGGCAATTTGGAATGTCCAATCAACCTAACATGCAGGTTTTTTGGACTGTGGGAGGAAGCCGGAGAACCCGGAGAGAACCAAAACGCATTCACTGTTAGATAATTACAATATTTAATTGGGAAATGTAGTTAAAAAAAATAATAAATCACCTTAGCTTGTGTCTCCTGGGTGATAGAGCGAAGAAGGGAAGCTGATCGAGACAGGAGAGGGGAGTTAAAAGGGGATGATTCGGCTGAAGAGCAGGTGTCACTCTCTCCGCCGCTAAAGTAGCGATAGGGGTTGGGGTCAGCTGGGGCCAGCAGGGTCCCCCCTTGGGAGCGCCTCTGGGAGTTGGGGGAGGTGAGGGGGCTGTTCGGGTCGCTGTGGAACAGGCTCTCCTTGCGTCGGGTATGAGGAGACTCCACCAGGGTGGAGAACCCATAGGAGGTCTGAGCTTTGGGTACGTACGGCAGGGACATGGCGGTCTGGGACTGAGGGTCCGCATTGGTGTTGACGTCAACACCCGCCCTGGCCCCGGACCCGGCCCCCGGCTCATCAGCGCTCTCTATCTGGATGATGTGGCGGTTGGCCGACTTCTGGAGATTTCGAGTAAAGAGACGGGGGCTGCAGGAGCTCTTGCTGCTCCGAGCTTTGGGGCTCTCGCTGCAGATGACATGGTCAGACGAGGAGGGTCTCAGAGAGGAGCAGTGCTGAGGCTCAGGGCTGGGGGACTCCTCTGGGGGGCAGCAAATAAGTTTGGGCGGTATGAAAAAATCTGGAATTCTTTCTGGAGTGAGCACGTTGGCATAAACGGAGATTGGAATGGCTTCGACTGTCTGCGGGGGCTGGGAATGTGTCCCACTGCTCTCCACAGAGCTGCGGAGCTTCTCCAGTAACCACATGCCCACTCAGACGCCTCAGCTCCCAGTTTCTATATCAACAGAAGAAAAAAAGTCATCAAAGAGGATGCAAAAGATCCATGTGTAAATGATTAGAATTAGGTTAAAATATTCTGTACATGACAATAAAAATATCATTTAGTCCCAAGAAAAAACTTGAACATTTTAAATAATCCATTTCATAATTACATTGAAGTGTAAAATGTCAAAATGATCTGGCATCTTTTCAGCAATTAGGCTTATAAATACCTGTAGACTGGATAAGCATATGCAAGGAAACACTTACATGTAATTGTATTGCAAATTAAATAAATCTAATAAATATAAATAACGACTACCACCATAAATATAAGTATTATCTTAGACTACTTTTCCTGTTCATATGGAGACAAACCCCTATTCCTATTCAAAATAAACAGTCATTAAATTAATTGGATTTACAATTAACTTTCACCGATACAACATTCCAGATTATTTAGCAAAACAGAGTCCAAATAACTTTTACCGTCAAATACAGCCACGCTAAGTTTGCAAGTTGTACTTTTGCAATGAAAAAAAACCCACCTGTTGGATCCGAGTTATTTTCCCTCCAGACCAAAAAAAAATAGGAGAGGTGTAAACTGCAACCTCTCTTCAGCACTCCGTGCGTAAAAGGTGTTTTCCCTACAGCTGAAGTGTGATCCTCAGCGCTCGCCAGCGGGAAGGGGTTGCTGGATCAGGAACTCTCGCTTTATATGAAGGGGGTCTCTGACTTCTGAGCCAATGAGAAGATTGTGAAACCTTCCCATGATATTTATCATAAAACTGTTCCTCGCGCGAACAGGGGTGGGGGGTGTTTATTAGCTGCTGTCTCGTCGCGCACAAAGTAAATTACTTGCCGTTTCATATCTCTCTGCCTCGGTGTTTCTTGGTGAAAAAAAAAACGTCACTGATTGCATTTAGCATCCACGCAATATCCGTTATCTTCTGTACAAAAAAGCCTTTTTTTTTACAAGGATCTGATAGATGACAAACAAACAATCGCCTTAATTGGACTTCCTGGTGACAAACTGGTAATAATGTAGAAGAACAATATGCTGTGCCTTTACCCACCATCTGCACTCATTAGCAGAGATAATGAAACAGAGGCTTTTGTCTTCCGCAGATAATTCTTTCCCCACATAAACAAAAAGCAAAACAAAATTAGGTTTCTCATCGCAGAAACAGATTAAGGGTTGGTGGGTTGAACTGATACCTTTCTAGTGAAGCAACCTTAAAACTTGAACATATGATCATTTTTCCTCAACTGCTTTTCTCTCTGCTTCACCATCAGTTTCTGCAGTTTATAATAACTGGAAAAAAAAAACAACGAGATCACATAGAGTCACTTTCAATGTGCCCATAAATTCTTCCAGTAATTTTCTTTTATATTTTCTTAATATTAAGTTTGAACATGAATTCTTCATATCATGAACATGCTGCTAACTTGCATGATGCCAGAAAGGGTCAGTCTCAGATCCTCAAATGCAGCTTTTTCTCTGCCAAAAATGCCAATAAACACCCAGAAAAAAGCTGTCTTCTTTGGTTTGGATGCAAACTCTGGCACGGTTTCCCTGCTGATCTGAAGACAGTGCATTAGTGTTTTTAGCCCTCCCAGCAATGCTTGTTTTTCATAGAAATATATTCTGATAAACAGTATAGCTTTTAGAGCTGACAGTACTTGTTGTTGAAATGATGTGGAGAAAACAATGGTTTTAATTCACAGGTGTCAAACTCCAGTTCTCGAGGGCCGCTGTCCCTGTTTCAACACATATGATTCACATCAAAGTGCCATTAGCAGGCTGATGCATAGCTCAACAATTTCCAGAGGAGAGCCAATTTAATCAGAATCAGGTGCAGAAGCAAGAAAACGTCTAAAAACCTGCAGGACAGCGGCCCTCGAGGACCCAGAGTTTGACACCCTTTGTTATTTTATGTGTCAATACCCTTTTTTTAACTTTATGTGACGGTGAATTTAATATCCAAAAGCAGAAGAAATTAGAGTGAGCTTCATTAGAATGGCTTTCAGGATAAGCATTAGGATAAGTAACAGGTCCCTTTGTGCTATAACCTCCCTACTTTTACCTTTATTAAATGTTTGATCAGAACTCCTCTGGTTTGCACGTGTAAGTTTCATCTTTGCATGAAACTGAGCCATGCACGTCAGTTATGCTTTTCGTGGATTATGATTTTCAATTTGACCATTAACCTGCTAAATCAAATTATGGGAAAATTGAAAGTAAAAAGTAAAAACACCCTTTTGAAAAACATAACATGTTTGTGAAAACCTTTACTTTACACTCTCATTTAGAGATGCACCGAGTTAGGGCAAGAAGTGGTACTGGGAGAAAGAGAAGTACTACTATGTGATTCATTTTCTTTGTTTTCTATCCAGGTCAGTTTCTGTTTTGAGAAAGCCAAAAAATACATTCAACCCACAGTGTTTATTGCCAGGTGTTAAACATGGAGGTGGATCTGTCATGGTATGAGCAGCCATGTCGTAGGAGTCAGTTGGACTACGCAGTGTTTTTCAGAGTTTTACAGAATGGCCAACAAATATAAGGACATCTCTAAAGGACCAAATTAGTTTACTAATAATTTAACCAATATAGCAGGTCCTCGATCCTCAGAGGTTTGCAATAGATTTGGCCAAGTCTGATACTGTACGTTAAAGAAAACACTGTTCATATGTCTTAGAAAATGAAATAAAACTTAAAGATGAAATATGACAGAAAAGGCCTGGCTTTTTGGATACAGGTGGTGGATTACCATTATCATTATCATGAATAATAATCCTACAACTGTGCTCTAACTCCTGAACAGTGGTGCTTATGTCCACGTTAGTGTTTTAGAGTTTTTTGTTTAACTTTGGGCACATTTTAGTGGATGTGATCTTTTGAGTATCATATTGCTGCAACTTTAGTAAGCCTCTGCTTCGATTATACGTTAAGGCTCAAAGTATTGGTAGCAATATGTCATAAAAGATACACTTTAAAAGATTGGTTGTGCAATCAATCAAAAAGCCTCCTTTAATCACATGCACTTCACATTGCAATCTATAAATCTGAACATGTTCTGAAACTATGTAATGTTCCAAAATCATACAAAACAATTCTTCCGGTAATAGTCTCTAATTTTCACATTTTATACAATTTGAAAAAGCATGTCTTTGTGTGTATTCAGAAACATGAGTTGGGCTTGTGCCACTGTCAGATTTAATTGGACCCGTGCTAGTGTGCTTCGGTTTATAATGAGGCCATGCACACTTATTTGATTCTTCTGGACCTCTCCAATCCAAGCAGCAGGATGGAATACATAATTTCTTGCTCCAATTAAGTCCCTGCTGCAGGTAATCTCCAGGACCAGTAACTGTCCACATCAACACATCTCCATAACACTTTTAGCTGTGCACCACCTGATGGTAATGAACCGCAGTCATACAGTGCAGTGTGTCACGCTCAAATAAAGTGTGCACTGCCGTTTCCACCAAATTAGATTTTTTTTCTGTGCATTCTTCACTTCTTCTGTAGTGAGTATTTTTGTTGCAGGTTACACTATTCAAAATGTGTGTATAGTCTGTATGGATGCAATAAAATTCCCAGGAAAGCAGCCGTCATTCACATATTTTTAAAATACAGATGGCTAAATGCTACACAAATTTGACCAAAAAGCTGCTCATTGAAAGCATGTATTATCTTGCTGTCTCTAAAAACAGCACTATTGAATTTTTGGAACCTTGAAATGATGTGCTTCTGATACATTTTGATGGAAACCAACCTTTGTTGTACAGATTTATGTGCCTAAAAATTTCAATTAACACCTGAGACTGAGATACCACACTTTACAACTCTGTTTTACAGCCTTACAGTGCATTGCCATGTAACAGAACAGCAACAATGTGGAAAGAAATGTTATGAAAAAGGAGAAGAAGAAGAACAAGTAGGTTTTCTTTTTCCATTAATTTCTTTCGAGGAAGACTTTATACACGAGAGTTGGGTAAGAAAATACAGTGCTTCTGTTGAGTCAATTATCTCATGAAGTGAGAAGATGCATAAATCTTAAATATTTCCTTATCAGACCAGAGTTTGACACACTTTTGTTATTAGTTTCTGTGCATGCATACTGGACGATTGACAGCTGTCTAGTTAAATAACCAAATCTAATTGTATTCGTGGCTTGACCCATCATCAGCTACATGCTAAGAAAAATTGTGGTTAGAAAACACAGAAATGCCCCCATGATCTTTGCTTTAACCTTGCATCTCCCAATAAAGTCTTAAAAGGATATTCATACTGATTGTCAGAATTAAAACTGACAAGTTTTCTGTAAAATGTTTTGTCAAAAAAACACCCTTTTAAAAATTATTTGAATACATTGTTAAGCTTTAGACTGACTTACAGTTTTTATTTGTGTAAACATACTTTTAAAAGACCGCTTTGCTTTATGTGACTTGTAAATCATATGAAAAAGTTTTGAATTTATTTTACAATTGAAGAAATAGGACGTCAGAAGCTGAACATACCATAACATAATTCTATAAACATTTTTTTTATCTGGAATTTGATAGCATAATCACATCTCAAAAAAAGTGGGAGGAATGCAAGAAAACCTGGGAAAGTAAGAGGTGGGTCAAACAGCAAACAGTTTTTCTGCTAATAACTCTGCTCCTCGTCTCTGGAATTCATTACCATCCCAACTCAGAAACATAAACTCACTCCCCCATTTCAAATCACAACTCAAAACACATCTGTTTAAGACTGTCTTTTCTATCTGAGGCCTATTTATATTGCTATTGCCTCGGTCTATTTTATTGATGTTATTGATTTTTATTATCGTTTCTTTTAATGCATTTTTGTGTGTCTTTGTATGGTGTCCTTGAGTGCCGAGAAAGGCACCTTCAAATAAAATGTATTATTATTATAAGTAACAGTAGACCTGGGTTAACACGATAACAGGATTAAGTGTGACGAGCATCTTCAAAGGGCAGAATCTCTTCATTAAAGATGGACAAAGGTTATATTTCAATGATTTCTGGAACATTATCAGGATAATGTTCTAAGACATAAAGACTATGCGGTACATGAAGTCCGCTGTCTTCTAAAAATCCATTATAGGGTGTAAATAGTTATGTGATGCTTGTGTAGAAGTTGACTGTAGACACTGGAGTACAATTGTTGTTATGCCAATGATTTCCTGCCAGATTTAACTTGCTTAGTTTATCTAAGACATTACTATGGGTCTTTCAGATTAATTAAAAAGTGTACTGATGTTATTGAATGTGTGCCATGAGCTGAATAGACCCACAATTATTCCTAATCTTAAAAAAAAAACCTTAGTAAGTTTTTCATTAACCTTTTGTAAATAAATATGCCTGGAATGACACCTGTCCGCTGAAAATACTTCCATATAAATGGACACCAAGCAAGAATAAAGTCACATCTCAGTGGTTCTATAATAGTAGAATGCAGCTTGTAGAAGGACCCAGTAAAATAGTAGAGATTCAAAAGTCCACCCCCACCTTTTGGCAGCATTGACTTCATTATGCTGTATTCACAACTGGATGTTATTTGGCTGTCATTATTATTGGCTTGATAGGCATCAATAGGTTCGACATCACAGAGAAAATTGCGGTTCCATCTATTCCTTTAAGCTCTTTTATGTATTTTGCCTGCAGTGTTTGGCAGAGGTACAACTGGAGCGATAGACCCTATTGATTTCAGGACTCATTACTTGCATAGTAAGTGATAGAGTTGGAATTCTCCTTTAGGAAGCAGCACAGAAAACTTAAAGTAAATGTCAGATTAAATGTCACAGTGATTGTTACCTCCACATTTCTTTGCTCCCAAA